AGGGACAAAAGTAGGAACTTGTGTACCTGTCACATCCATAATCCGTCAGAAGATAACGTCTGATAATTCCAACGACAAATTTGATCAAATGGTTGCAGTTGCTGGACAGTCTCTGAATCAGATTGAGAAGAGGAAATTAAGGGAATTTCTTCGGCAGTATCGTGATATTTTCGTACCGAAAGGAGGAAAGACGGGAAGAACTACCGTTGTTAAGCATAGAATTGATACTGGTAATGCTAAGCCAATTCGTCAAACAGCTCGACGATTACCACAGGCGAAAAGAGAGGAAGCTGAAACGATTGTTCAGGAAATGAAGAAAGACGGGGTGATAGAACCTTCTACGAGCCCATGGGTCTCTCCGATAGTCCTGGTTAAGAAGAAAGACCGAACAACGAGGTTCTGTGTGGATTACCGTTTGCTGAACAACGTTACCAAGAAAGATAGTTATCCTCTGCCTCGGATTGATGACACATTAGACACATTGGCTGAAAGTAAATTATTTTCTACTTTGGATTTGAAGTCTGGATACTGGCAGGTAGAAATGGACCCGGTAGATAAAGAAAAGACAGCCTTCACCACAGGATCTGGATTATGGCAATTCAACGTTATGCCATTTGGACTTTGTAACGCTCCTGCAACATTTGAGAGGCTTATGGAAAATGTGTTGAGAGGGTTATCTTGGAAATCATGCCTAGTTTATCTAGACGACATAATCGTCTTGGGGGAGACATTTGAAGACCATCTGAAGAACTTAGAAAACGTTTTTAATCGACTTAAAGCTGCCCAATTGATGTTAAACCCCAAGAAGTGCCAGCTATTTCAAGGTAAAGTTAATTATTTGGGTCATATAGTCAGTAAAGAAGGAGTGGCCGTGGATAAGGGAAAAATCGATTCCATTAAGGAATGGCCAAAACCAACTGACAAACATCAAGTGAGAAGTTTTCTTGGACTATGTACTTATTACCGGAGGTTTATTAAGAAGTTTGCAGATATCGCTAAACCATTAACGCGACTTACAGAGGAAGCAAGAGAATACCGCTGGGATGTAGACTGCCAAAATGCCTTTGAGACATTAAAAAAGCATTTAATCACAGCACCAATTTTAGGGTATCCACTGCCAGAAGGAGAGTTCATCTTAGATACAGATGCGAGTAATGTGGGAATTGGAGGAGTGCTGTCTTAGATTCAGGGAGGACAGGAAAGAGTCCTTGGATATTTTAGTAAAGTTCTCTCAAAACCTGAGCGGAATTATTGCGTCACGAGAAGAGAACTTCTGGCAGTAGTGAAATCAGTAGAGCACTTCTATCAATACCTCTATGGAAGGAAGTTTTTAATCCGAACCGACCATGCCGCCCTTAAGTGGTTGATGCAGTTTAAGAATCCAGAGGGTCAGATAGCCAGGTGGATCGAACGACTCCAAGAATATGATTTTAAGATTGAGCACCGGGCCGGAGTTAGCCACCGAAACGCTGATTCTCTTTCCAGAAGGCCATGCCCAGCAGAGTGTTCCCACTGCAACAAAACGGAACCCAAGGAAGCAGCAGTGCTAAGAACGACGGTGATCAACGACGACTGGACGCCTACCAAGATCAGGGAAGAACAAGAGAGAGATCCAGTTATACAGAAAATCCGAAAATGGAAAGAGGAAAACCGTCGACCACCTTGGCAAGAAATATCGAACCTAGGCTCAGTTGTTAAGACGTATTGGGCCCAGTGGGACTCATTTATCATGGAAGATGGCTTGCTCAAACGAGTCCTGGAGAATGATGACGGTTCAGAGAAGAGAAGACAGTTGGTGATTCCAAAGAGCAGGATAGCCGAAGTACTTCGTCAGTTACACGACAGTCCATCAGGAGGGCATTTTGGTGTGAAGAAGACCCTTCAGCGAATTCGGGAACGGTTTTATTGGATGAACAGTTCCGACGATGTAAAAGACTGGTGTAAGAAATGTACTATTTGTGCTACGAGTAACGGGCCTTATCGAAAAAGGAGAGCTCCTATGAGACAATATAATGTTGGAAGCCCGTTTGAAAGAATAGCTTTGGACATTGCTGGGCCATTTCCAGAAAGTGATAATGGAGGCAAGTACATGTTGGTAGTAATGGATTACTTCACTAAGTGGGTCGAGATTTACGCACTTCCAGACCAGAAGGCGGCCACTGTTGCAGATAAGTTGATCCAGGAATATATCAGCCGATTTGGAGTGCCTTTGGAGATCCATAGTGACCAAGGCAGGAACTTGGAAAGCGATCTATTCCAAGGGATATGTGATAGACTAGGTATGAAGAAAACAAGAACTACGGCTTATCATCTGCAATCGGATGGTATGGTAGAACGAATAAATAGGACAGTTGGCAAGTATTTGACAAAGATGGTGTCCGATCATTAGCGAGACTGGGACCAATATCTTCCGTTCTTCACAATGGCCTACAGATCTGCTGTTAACGAATCGACAGGCCAGACACCAGCCAGAGTCCTATTCGGACGCGAGATGCGACTACCTTGTGATCTAGAGTTTGGGTGTCGACCTGGAGAAGATGTAGCAGGTGAAGATTATGTGATCGAATTACGAAGAAGAATGGACGATGTACACGAATTGGTCCGTTCCCATCTCCAGATCGCTAGTGACCGAATGAAGAAACGGTACGATACACAAGCCGAAAAGGGGTGTTTTAAGAAGAACGAAAAAGTCTGAAGACTTTTCTTCTTCTTTAGAAGGACGTCTGAACGTCCTTCTAAAGAAGAACGACGTAGATAAAGAAGTGGAAGTAAACCAAGTCCAAGATGTGTCTGACCTCACGTTTGAGGAATTCATGGGTGCCTATGGAGGTACCGGTAAAGCAAGACATGGTGTTACCACTGAAGAAAAGCAAGATCTACTCGCGCTTCCCGATGACTACTCGCTGGCCCTTACTATCCCGGCCAGTATCAAAGACGCACCAGGATTGGCATCCGTCTTTCGAAGGAATTTTGGTCGAGTTGCAGAACTTCAATGCCAAGTGCCAGCTCCCAGTAAAACCTTGAAACTCCAAGATGCATCACGTTACCTTTTCTACCTGGTAACAAAAGACACTGCCCGTGACCAACCTACCTACCGAGATGTATGGGAAACCTTACTTCAGTTGAGAGAGCACGTACTAGAGTCCGACGTGCAAAAGTTAGCCATGCCAAAGTTGAAGTGCCGCCAATTAGATTGGAGGGTTATCCGAAATATGGTGGAGGAGATGTTTAAAGACACCGAAGTCCAGGTGTTAGTCTGTTGCAATCCGCATAGTTACTGGTGCGGAGAGAAAACCGTCCCTTCTCATTTCTATACAACTGGAAGTTGTAAAAGAGGGTCCAGTTGCCGATATCAGCATGTCGTTCCAGTTCCAGTCCCGACAAGGTTCCAGGAGGAACCATCTTTTAAGAGGGGGCAATGTTACGATTTTAAATGTTATGGCGTATAGAACTGTAAATATTTTATGACTAATTCTTTTGTTTTGATTCTCGTAATTTCTAGGTCATAAATCTACCTCACATCATTTGGGTCCCCTTCGCTAAACAAACAACAATCGAATTTTCTGGGGACGTCGAGCCGATAAAAAACATACCAGTTTTGAGACCGGTTGCCGCTATGTCTACATCGAGAACAGCATAGTATTTTCTACGAAATTCTGTTTATCGGCTGGATCCATATAAATAACGGAAGACTTTCATTGAGGGGTTAGTCATAAGAAGATCGGGAAACGCGATTTACTTGTAACGAAACGTAACAAATAAATTTGTACAGCTATTTAATAAATTAGTAATTAGTTATCGTGAGTTTTAATAAATTAGAATATAGACAATAAATTAGAATAAAGACAAATAAATTAGAACTATATAAATATACAACAGTACCATTGCATATATCTAAAACTGCGTAGAAATGTTATAGAACAATTTTTGCGAAAAAAATAAGGAAAATTACACAAAATTATGTGATTTTCGAACTTTAAAAAACAGTATGTGGGATACTGTGACACTGTGAATCCCAAATACTTCTGTCAAATGTCATTTTGAAGAAGATGAAGGGTAAAAGTTTTTTTTTCTCCTCTGTAAAGCTATACTTATATCACAGTATGGTATTTATACTGTGCTTATATCTTTAACCCTGTGGAAGAAGGTTATGGGACAAATGTCTTTCCTAAAGATTTTAAATTCTCATATATTTAGAATCATATTGATTGGTGTGGACTTAAGTTTGTTTCCCTGCCTATTTGCTAGGAACATGTTTACTTCAGCATTCCTTTCTACTTTTTATTTTTTTTGCTGCCCTTTTGACTTGACCAGTCTACTGTCTTCCATTCTGCAAATGTGTCCCTAACAACTTAGCTGGTCTATATATATTGTTCCTGTTCTAATTCTGTTATTATTTCCTTATTTCTATCAAATTTTCTATTTCTGCTATTTTTATGAAGTATTTCATCTGTTACATTTAGCTTACTGTTGTACTTAATACATTAGAATTTTGGAATTAAAAGGATACTAGAGTCAAGAGTGATCAAGAACATTACAGCATGCTCATCTATAACACAGAATAATTAACAATCAGAATGCCCACTTTCAGATGCCGCCTTTGAAGTTTGCCAGCACGTGAACACCATGTTTTAGACGGAAACATAGACTCAAATTGAGACATTTGTGACAAGCTATGACAGAACTGTAATATAAATTTTTAGAGAATAATTTAGTACTTTTGAAATAATTTAATTGATTCTTCAACGAAAAGTATGAATAAAATAGTGCATATTATGTCTGTAGTTGCCGTAAATAAATTAAACCGGGTTAATTTGTCTATGCACACCAGATAAGATGTCACTGAACAGCACTGGTTCCTTTTAAAACATGTCTGATTCCATCTGCACAAACAAGAGGCATCTACTTATTTTTCTAAGCAGAGTGGGCATTCTGATTGTTTATTATTCTGTGTCTATTAGAATAATATAAGGATTCATTGGAATGAAAACAATTGGTATTAGATTTAATTTTTAGTTTATTATAAGTAAACTTATAATAATAATAAATAAAAATATTGATTCCATGATATTTTAAACTACTAAGAAATGTTGATATTCTCTACTATGTTGTTTTTTGTGTTTTTTCATACTACTACAATCATAAAATGATTTCGAACAAACATCACATTTATATGGCTTCTCTCCAGTATGTATCCGGGTATGAATTTTAAGAGATCCAGAGTGATCAAATGTTTTTTCACAAAAGTTACAACTATAAGGCCTTTCACCACTATGCTTTCTCATATGATATGTCAAATGACTTTTTTGAGAAAATTTTTTACCACATACAATACAGATGGCAGGTTTTTCTCCAGAATGAGTCCTTTTATGTTTTAGAAGACTATTTTTGTGACAAAAAGCTTTATTGCAAATGTCACAAATATATGGTTTAACTTCAGAATGTACCTTCACATGTGAATCTAACAAAGCCTTTGTGGCAAATTTTTTCCCACACTGACTGCATAAAAACTCTTTTTCATAGTGTGTCTGCAAGTGTTGTTTAAGCAAGTACTTAGATAAAAAAGATCTATTGCATTTTTGACAAGTTAATTGGCTTAAATCATTACTATCTTTGACTTTGTGCATATTTATATGATTACCTAGAGCATGCTTTGTAATAAAAGTTATTCCACAAATATTACACATACAGGATTTTTCTCCACTATGTGTTCTAATATGGTCAGTTAGGGATGGAGCTTGAATAAAACCTTTGCCACAAATGTGACATACATGGGGCTTTTTGTCCCTATGTCTGAATTTATGCCTAGACAGACTAGATAAGAACCTAAATTTTTCACCACAAGTCTGACATTGATGAGGTTTTTCTTTTGTATGTGAGTTCATATGATCTTTAAGTTTATATGCGTTAATAAGTTTTTTACACACACTGCAATGTTGTTTTTTTCTTCTTGAGTCAGCTTCTCGTTTTCTATGTGCAATATATGCAGAATATGTTTCAAATTGACTGTTACAAAATGAGCATGTTATCATTTTTTCCATAGTCTTAAGCAGAACATGACTACATTGTTCATTAGCAGCATCATCGGAAATATAACCAAACTTATCATTTTCTACAGTTTCCGTATTTTCATTATCTTGTTCTTCTTGTTCTTGAATTTGTATGAGAGAATTACACAAAATTACTTGTGTGTCTTTCACTTTTTCGCTGAATTTATAAAATTTAATTACTAAGTTTTCACAGACAGTACATATCTTTTTCGGCAAATAATCTGTGGGATTAATCTGAAAATGACATATTATTTATTCAATGTTTTGGCAGTTGTACATAACTTACCTCCAATATGGAAAACTTTGCAAAAATATCAGCAAAAGTAATTTCTTGATATTTAGTTTGAAATATATCTATTAAAGCATTTTTGTTGAGACATAATCGACAAGAATTTTCAAATTGTTCAGGTAACAATAAAACATTATTTTTCTCACAGATGTTAGATTTAAACATTGTATTATTTAATTTTTTGTTGTACTTATTTTTTATTTCAGCCACCTTTAGGTTAAAGTTTTAAAAACAAATAAACACACCTATAGAACATAAATTTTTGACAGTCCAGTGATTTGTTTTATCGAGGTTATACAGCAACCATAACCATCTATAAAATATTTAATTTGTCGATGTACAGACATGTAATGTACAGACAGATGTGTAATTATCGAAGAAAGTTATTATAACACAGTAAACGACAAAAAGGATAATATAATAACTTCTATTTATGTGTATTAATTTAATTTTGTGTCTCCTGACCAGCTCCTGACAATTTGCAGCTGGCTGTCAATGTCCATGTTTCAACGTTTCAAGTGATAAGTGATTGATAAATGATAATTTCTATTCTTATTAAATTAAAAAAAAATGCCAAAATAGCCTTGTAATTTTAAATAATTTACAAATATAATATACCTTGGTTATTTCAATACGTATTATACGTTGATCATTTCAATGAAATTACTTGTATAAACAGTTACAAATAATACATCTGAATGCTTAATTCTGAAATAAACACCATGTCTGGAAAAACAACTATAAAAGGAAATCCATCTCAGTATGTAAAACTTAATGTAGGGGGTTCTTTACATTACACTACTATTGGAACACTTACAAAACAAGACACAATGCTTAGAGCTATGTTTAGCGGACGGATGGAAGTCCTATCAGACTCTGATGGTAAGAATATCTGATGTTTAACACATATCTCTACTTTATTTAAATCGATAATTAAGAATCCAGATCTCAAGCTATAATTAAGACAGGTTATTTGTTTTATTCCTGGATTAGTAATTTAGGTATGATAGATGTTGATTGTAGAAAAATGACTGCCCGATTGTAGAAAAATTGAAGTTTTAAATGGTTTAGTATTAGTATATCTTCTTAAATTAATTATAATATATGTCCTGTTCTTTATTATGATTGAAATTTTTATTCCAAATACACCAGCATTTTAAGGTTGTAAGCTTATTTTCCTACTGTTTTTTTTTTCAGTCACCAAACATGTTAAATACATTAATGAGTATTGAGTAGTATTTATTAATTACATGTTTCCATGCAATTATATCTGAACTTCCTTGGAATTTTCATTAAATTTTATTTCAAATCCTTTATAAAAGGTATATAATAAAATGCCCAAATGAGCTATCACAATTACATTACAGAATGTTTTCGAAATGTTAATTCAATCATCAGTGTAAACTGGGTATACATGCTATGAGCCACCAAAATATATGGGTCAAAACCTGTTAAATGTTATAAATTTATAGTTGTTTTACATATGTCGCCATGTTACCAATTGCAATGGTAACTTAAACATCCTAATTTGTAATTATAATGTAAAACAACTATAAATTTATAACATTTAACGGGTTTTGACCCATATATTTTGGTGGCTTATAGCATGTATACCCCATTTACACTGATGATGGAATTAACATTCTGAAAACATTCTGTAATGTAATTGTGATAGCCCGTTTGGGCATTTTATTATATACCTTTTATAAAGGATTTGAAATAAGATTTTTGTGGTATATGGTATATATTGTGGATTTCTTTAAATGTTTTACTTTCTTAGTGAGGTATAAAATCTGCTGATTGAGGGTATATTTGTAAATTTTCCAGTAGTTTTCCAAACTAAATGTTTTCTACCATTTAACATATAAAACTAAAATTTTGTAAGTCTTAAAAGGATAAAATAAATGCCATCAAACATTTTTATTTTCTTTTAAGATTTAATGTGTAACAGCTATGCCCTCTAAACTTATTTTATTTTTAGGGTGGATTCTAATAGACAGATGTGGCAAGCATTTTGGCACAATTCTAAATTTCCTAAGAGATGGCAGTGTCTCACTTCCTGAGTCCACAAAAGAAATAGCTGAACTTCTAGCTGAAGCTAAATATTACTGTATAGCAGAATTGGCAGAATCATGTAATAAAGCTTTAGCAAAAAAAGAGAGAGGAGAAATGGAACCAATTTGTAGAGTACCACTAATTACATCACAAAAAGAAGAGGAAACACTAATAAGTTCTACAACAAAACCAGCTATTAAACTACTGATAAATAGGCATAATAATAAATATTCTTATACTAGTGCTTCTGATGATAATTTACTGAAGAATATTGAACTTTTTGATAAGTTGAGTTTATGGTACAGTAACAGAGTACTCTTCTTGAAGGATGTTATAAGTACTAGTGAAATATGTTGTTGGGTATTTTATGGTCATGGTAAAAAGGTAAATATGTAATAAAAATTATTAGTTTCTAAGTTAAAGCATGACTTGTAAAAATTATTTAATAATCCAGGATACGTTTCGACATCACTGTCATCATCAGCTTTATAAAACGGGAGAAATTAAATACAGTTTGATTTAACCATTAAGTGGTCTCTAGCCTATTATTTACACAAGTGCTTAGCTTACTTTGTATGCCTGACAAAATATAGGGCTATTTAAGTTAACACTCTACATTTCTTAAATCCATATGAATAAATAAACACATATTTTATGTCAAAAATATAATAAACTGTAAAATTAAACATAAAGAATTTTTTGTCAGAAAAGTTTTGTTTTCACATTTAGAGCTTTTGTACCAGTAGCTCTGATGATTCCTGCTAGGATGAAATATATATAAGCGAATATACAATTGTACAGAGGCACTATATGAAATCAAATCTTAATTGTTCTTTCTTTTATTCCAGTATACTCTTAATGAGTACAAGAAACCAATCGCCAAAGATTTTTGCTGAGATGACTAGATATGTTGTGGGATGCAACTTTTAGATCCTCCATATCTTTCTTACATCTTTAGCATTGTCTGTTTTGCCTTGCAAATTCATAGAAGGCATAGATTAAAGCAAAAATCTAAATTTTGGTTTTGTCAATAAAAATCTTTGGATTTCTACTTTCGAGTTTTATCTGGTGACTACTCTGGTGAATCCTGGTAGAATAAAATATGTATAAGCAAATATACAGAGGCACTATACGTGAAATCAAATCCTAACTGTCCTTTCTTTTAAAAAATAATTCTTAGATGAATATAAAAAGATACAAAAAGTTTAATTAATTTTAAGGACTTTTTGTTTGATTTGCATCATGCTTGCATTTTAAGTAAATATGTGTGGTGATTATCAGAGGGTTTATTTTAGTTTTGTCTATACCCATAAAGACAAAAAACATATAGACTTAAAATACTTTATTGCTTTTCAAAATATGTCTCACTCAGATCTATACACTTTTGTATAAGTTCAAAAAAATTGGTAAAACAGTCATTCCAATCTTCAGTTGACACCTGCAAAATTACTGTTTTTAAGTCATTAAATTCATGCATTGAATTTTTAATCTTTGAGAATGTTAAGAAGTTGTTGGGACCTAGGTAAGGGCTCTACAGTGGATGGTTTAACAATTCGATGTTTTGAAGCTCCAATAACTCTATTTTTTTGGACAGTGTGAGCAGTTGCATTGTCCTGATGTAGGATGATTCGCTGTTGTGTCTTTCTTTGACGGCGTTTCGCGATAACTTCTAGTAAACAAACGGTTATATACCGATCAAAAGTAACCATTCTCCAATCTTCTAAAGCAATTGTTCCTTATGACCAGATTTTGACACAAAATTTGCGACCATTTTCTTTGACGCACTTTGAGAATGGATCACTTTGGTGGTTTTTCCTCATCGTTAAACGCCCACACAGCGAATTGGCGTTTATTTTCCGGTTCGTAGGAGTAAATCCAAGATTCTATAGACTAACAATACTATAAAAGTTTTTTGAGCTCCCTTTCTTGACCCGTTCCAGTGTTTTTCGAACAGCGTTTCTCACAAATTGATGTGAACTGCTTTTTGCTCTTCTGTTAGCAAATGAGGAATCCAACAGGAAATCACCTTCGTAACATCCAGTTCTTCATCTAGGATCTTTTGGATTGAGGTCTTTGAAATGGCCAAATATGTCTCTATCTTCTGGTATGTTACACAAGGTCATCCTTAATTAGCAAACGAACCGCATCAGCGTTTTTCCTGTGTGACTGCTGTTTTGGGTGTACTTGGCCTGGATTTGTTACTAAGACTGGAGCGACCTCATTGAAATTCACAATACAAGCAGGAAATAGTTGACTGGTGTGATACTTCATTCTCAAACACAGAAACCATTTCAGCGAGACATTGCTGTTGGGATAATCCTCTCCAAAAATTGTATAAAATTATTTCTAAAAAATGTTCTTGGCCAAAATCCATTTATCTACTGATTTGCTAATTCAAAAATTCACTCTAACTACACTACTTGTATCGCAATGAAACTCTCGATTTATGTTAAGAACATATTGAGGTTACAAATTTTGTGTCTGGTTTTTATTGGTGGCGCCCTCTAAGCAGCTGTATGCAAAACTAAAAAGACAAACCTCATGATTTTTACATGCTGGTTAGTTGCATCTTTGGCACTTTATTGTGGTTGCTCTATTTTTTTTGGCCGCACTGAACAAATGTTCCCCTTGTTTTTTCGGATAGTTTTGAACTCTAAGTATCGACACTTTGAAACTCTTGTTTCAAATTGTGTGTCATTATAGAAATCTCCAATTTAAAAAAATATGTCTGTAACTTAGATCTTTATCGCAATTAGTGCTTTTAAATAAAATATTGGAATTTATAAGCGCAATATTCATAAGCAGATAAAATACGACCAATGGCCACAGTCTAGTTCGTTTTTGCACAGTGTAATTGCTGCACATTTGGTCAACTATATCGATTCTCCATTTAGTTTTATTATAAAATAGTATAATGTCTGGTTTGCGTAACATTTCTTCTATAGAATCATCAGAATGCTGTCTAGAAAAAGTGACAACCAAAGTCACTTTTGGTGAAGAAGCTCTTGGGACAAAGGATAACTGGTATACCAGTTATCTGTGGTAAAATTTCTATTAACCAATCTGACAACAATATCTGTTGCAGTGTTTGGTACATTGTATGTTCCTTCAGGATGCTTACCACATTAAATATCTAAATTTGAGACATAAAACATCTTC